GGGGGGGGGCTGGGGGTGCTGGCGGAGGACGCAGCACGGGCTCTGGCATCTGGCTTCTGACCAGCAGCCCAGGGGACTCAGCCAGCCGCTGCGGCCAGGGTCAGGGTTAGGCTCTGCACCCTGCAGACACACAGACTGGGTGGGGTGTCCGAGAATATTGTCTTAGCAGTATACTGGCACCCCGCGTTCTGTTTGGGTTCCCCAGCCAAGGGGAAATGGGCATAATGCCAGAGGCCCACTCGGACACTGGTCAGAGACAAGGGTGCCCTCGGCCAGGCCCACCTGCTCTGCTCTCCAGGGGAGCGCAGGAACCTGGGGGCCAGAGACAGGGTGCTGGGGCAGAGGTCAGTGGGCAGGAGCTGTTGGCCCCTGGCCTTGCCCTGAGTCTGGCCGGGCCCTGACCCCCATGCCCCACCCCCAGCCCGCGGGAGCCCCAAGCCCGAACGCTGGCCCTGCGGACACAGGAAGGGTGCCACCCTGCCGTCCGCTCTCCAGACCACCCCCAGATCAGACCAGCCGCAGCAGCCGTGGCCTCTTGTCCCACCCCCCCCCCCCCCAAGGTGGGGCTGTCTCCCCATTATCAGTTGGAGGGGGCAGCCCCTCCCCCAGGGCCCACCAGGCAAGCTGAGCTGGCCCCTGTCCCCAGCCCAGACCCAGCCTCCTCCACCCCGGCCCCGCGCCCCGCCCCAGGCCGGCAAGGGAGGGGGGAGCCGCTGGGGCGCAGCAGGCCCCAGTGCAGGCGCCCCCGGGGGCTGGGCCTGCACAAACACCTCTGTTCAGGAAGTGGGGTGCAGGGAGGTGGGGGTGGCTCAGAGCCTGGGGACAGGAGGGGACGCTTCCTGGCGGATGCGAGGTCAGGGAGAGGGCGGAAACGGCCAGGACAGCTGGCGAACATCTGGAATCCCCGGGACTCGCCCGGCGCCCTCGGGTGGCCAGCGGAGGCCCCGCCCCGGCCCGGCGCCGGCCTCGCCCCACCATCGGGGTGGGGGTCTGGGCTGGGGTCCGCGCCCGCAGGCTGGCGTGACAGCCCTCAGGGGCCTCGTCCCAGCTCGGCCGGGTCCAGGCTCTGGGGCACCCTCCACGCTGCGCCAGGGGTAGGGGCACCCCCACGGCCCTCCCCGAGAGCCGCAGGTCTCCCGCCGGGAGCTGCCGCCAGGCGCCCTGAAGCCCGTCACTTTCAGGGAAAAGGCTGC